GGGTCTGTTGAGACCTCATATGTCGGATCACGTGGAGCTGAACTTGAGAACTGGGAAGGAGAGTGTTTTCATCAGTTCCTGTGTGCCACTGATTGCTTCCTTCCAGCAACTGAGTCCGCACACTCAGGTCAGCATTGGACATGGCAGGGTCCCGGTCCTGGGTATACGGTTCACAGGTTAGACTATATAGGGCTTCCCTGTGCCTGGAAGTCGTTCGTGCTTGGTTCGGCTGTGTGGACTGACTTCGAGGCACTGCAGGCTAGGCAAGATCATTTGCCTGTCGTCGTCGAAGCAGCTTTTCGCAAAGCTTCGCCTCGCACCTATTCTTCTTCACTTCGGCGCAAGGCCTGTCGACCAGCCACCACGGCTTCCGATGCAAGCCGTGATATTTTCAGGGCCGCCCTTACCGCCGATCAAGCTCCAGGCTGGAACGCGGACGTTGATGAGCACTACCATGCTTATGTGCTTAATCTCACCTCTGCAGCGCAGCCCCTGTGTGCTGAGACAGCCTGTGAACCTCGCCAGACTTTCCTGTGCGAAGCCACCATGACCCTCGTTCAGAGGAGAAGAGGGTTAAGAAGCCAGCTCAGGCTTATTGAGGCGGAAAAGCAACGGAGGCTTCTCCTGATCTCGTTTGCGGCCTTTCTTCTACATGCCGGTGGCGAAACGTTTACACAGCAAACTTGTACACGTGCAGATGAGTGGCTCCGCGCCATCGACTACGTGGTCGCGGAGACTATGGAGCTTTTGTTCGAGGTCTCCACGGCTGTCAGGGCCGCCGTCAAGAGGGACCGGATTGGATACCTGGACGGTCTTGTTAAGGACGTGACAGTCCAAGATATGCGGGCGCCCAAAGCACTCTACACTGCAGTCCGTCGAGCTTTTGCTGGTGCTAAGTCGGCGCGGAGGTCCACCTTCCAACCCCTGCCAACCGTGCTCCTTGAGGATGGACAACTGGCACAGTCGCATGCTGACAGGGTTGACAGATGGGCTGCCTTTTTTGGTAGCCAAGAGGCTGGCGTACGTGTTACTGCGGATGAGTACAAGCAGCGGTTCGCCTGCCCTGATATTCCTGTCGGGAATGCCGACCCCGTCTTCTCCATCCGGGCTATTCCTTCGCTTACAGAGCTGGAGCAGCAGCTCTTACGAGCCCAGTACGGCAAAGCTTGTGGCCCTGACGGGCTCACTGCCGAGGTGTTTCGGTTGTCGGCTCCACATGTTGCCAAGTTGCTTTTCCCTATATGCCTCAAGGCTTCGCTTAGCCTCCGCGAGCCCTCGGAGTGGAGGGGTGGTAGTCTCCACTGTTTAGCCAAAAAAGCACAAGCAGCACTTGAATGCTCTGGCTATCGTTCCATACTCATGGCGAGTGTGGCGGGGAAGGCTCACCACCGCATCCTTCGCAATAAGCTTATGCCGCATTTCGGGGCACACAGGGCGGCTTTGCAGTTTGGTCAGGTTGCTGGCGTTGGAGTGGAAGCAGTGGCACACATTGTGCGCACCTACCAGGTGCTTATGCTTGGCCGCCGGCGCGTTTGTGCCACCACCTTCTATGACGTGAAGACAGCATTCTATCAGGTCATAAGACAGGCGCTCTTGCCAGGGACTGCCGGCCATACCGATGCTAGGCTCCTCGAGCTCCTTCATGGTTGGGGTGTTCCCGAGGAGGCATTAGGTGAACTCATCATACACCTGCAGAACATCGCTGCGCTGCCCACCGCCTGCGACGATGAGCACTTGTGTGCTCAGATAGCCGACCTCTTTAGGGGCAGCTGGTTCCGTCTGGATGGGGCGGACCCACTTCTTGTAACTTATAAAGGAACTCGACCAGGAGATCCTCTTGCCGACCTATTGTTCGGGTTCCTCTTCTCAGCTTATGTCAAAAGCTCCGAACGAGCCTTAGCTGACGCAGGGTTGGCGACGCATGTCCCGCAAGCCGCTTGTGGGGCGACAACTATTTTTGGACATGCCTGTCAGGAAATTGGGTGCATGGCCTGGGCCGACGATTTCGCACACTTACAGTCGGCACTTGATGTGGTCGCCCTCTGTGAGCAGGTTCAACGGGCCACCAGCCTTTTGGCCACGAGGGCGACAGCGCACGGCATGCAGTTGACGTTTGCCGTTGATAAATCTGCAGTGCTCTTCTGTAGCGCCAGTAGCCGTGCCCCCAACCAGTATCTGACTGCCGATCCGGACGGTCAGCTTGGTCTCCACATCTGGGATGCGATTCTTCAGAGGAGTTTCTTTCTTCCGGTTGTGGATTCATATCGCCACTTGGGCACAATCGCTGTCGCTAATGCACGGCCTGGGCCTGAAATTGCGTTCAGATTGTCCAAGGCTCAGGCCACTCTAATACCTCTTCGACGCAGGCTCTTTTCCAATTCGGATATTCCACTCCAGACCAGGCGCCTGCTGCTCAGGGCTCTGGTTGTTTCCAAATTCGTGTTCTCCTCCTGCTCCTTGCTTCTACAAGCAGGTGTACACCGGAGGGCCTGGTGCCGCGCTTATGTCCGCATATGGCGCGCCTTATGTCGGTGGAAGGGGGTTGAGAATGCTCCTCATAGCTACCAAGTCCTGCACGTCGCAGCCGCGACCTCGCCGCTTCTTGCGCTTGCTAAAGCCAGAGCGGCCTATTTCCGCCGTCTGTTGATGCAGGGCCCCTCAGCCCTCTTGTATCTCCTCAGAGTGCACTGGGCTGACTCTCCATGTCAGTCCTGGCTTGGCCAGTTCCAGCTTGACATCAAGGCTGTTCGTGCTGCTGCAGTTGATGTGGGTGTCCTAGGGACTGGGGAGTCTGCCGTTCTCAGGCTGGTTGAATCCCTTCAAGAGGAGCCCAATTGGTGGCTTGCTAAAGTCAAAAAGGCAGATGCTGCCTTCGCTCAGGACTTGCTTTGCTGGTCCCGTGCAAAGGATGGCCCCTCCCAGGAGCCAGGTCCTCCCATGTCTGCTACCGACTCCCAGGGGGCCCATCTGCCGTTTCAATGCACAGAGTGCGCCGCCAGGTTCAGGCTGCGCCGGCACCTTGCTGCACATGCAGCCCGTGCGCATCGTGTCTTCAGCCCTGTGCGACACTTTGTATTTGCTCCCTTTTGCTTTGCTTGCCACAAGTGGTTCCACAGCGTCACGCGTGTCCAGAACCACTTGAAACAGTCGCATGGCTGTCTTTCTAGGATTGCAGAGGTCATCGCCCCCATGACTTTCGAGCAGATCCAGCAATGTGAAGCTGAAGACAAACGTTGCTCTCAGCTTGTTCGTAAAGGGACATGGGGAGCTTACAGGGCTGCACAGCCTCCGCTGTTTGTGTTCCTGCCGCGCTTGCCGACTTGGACAGAGTCACTCCCGTCTCCGGATGATGAGGATGCTCTTTTGTGTCAGCTTAAGCCTAGGTTCCGCCCCGAACAGCACGTTGTCGATTGGGTCCAAGACTGGATTGCAAGTGCTACAGTTGAAGGCCCTCGACAGGAAGCCGGGGAATTCTGGCTAAATCGCCCGTGGCCAAAACGGCCGGGCTAGCGGAGGCCTTGTTTCACCTTGCATTTTTGGGACGCGCCATTCTTGGCACTGAAGTCCATCGCAGATTCCGCAGATATACTATTTTTGGGGGGTGCCGTATTATAATTCCAAAACCCCATTCTAAATATTAAAGCCGCTAGTTATGTTATCCGTGGCAGGACGAAGCATGCAGACCCTAGCAAAGTAGGCAGGCCCGAACTCGAGCAAGTCCGCTCTGGGCAGTCTGTCTGCGAAGCCGTCGCACCTCCGCCGCAACGCCTATTATCTATCGATAGTGCAAAGGACTGTGGATCAGTTGAACGACCTGGCCGAAATTCGTCCGCCACCATGCGTGCGTCAGGGCGGCACAATCCGCGTAGCTGTGATGTGTTGTTGACATACTCTTTTCGACAGGCGACCTGCCTGCAACAAAGACACATCTCCCAAGGCCCTTCTCTTGACTGCACTACCGCCGCAAACATAAATTTCATGCCCACTCCCTGTTCGCTTCTGCTGCTACGTAGTTCTTGATAATGTCGCGTTTCGACTCGCTCCAACTGCACGATCGGAGCTCAGCGCGGCCCTTCTGAGGTGCTCCTTGGTTTCCGTTGTTTTGCTTTCCTTCTGCTTTGCTCATTCGTGCTTCTGCCTTCACAATTGTACGGTCTGCGGATAGCATGCGGTAAATGCAACTCACCCGCTCTTACTGCTTTTGCCAAAGGGTCAATGTGCCCAAATAGTATATACTTAGGCACTTAACGTAGTCCCTCTTTGGGTACTTTGGGGCCAAAGTATATACTGTTTGGGTACATGGACCCTCAGAGTTTTTGCGGTGGAAAAGTTCAAGCCCAACCCGGCTCCACCCAGCTGTGTCTGGTAGCCCTAGCGCATTAAGCACGACAGATTGGGCACAGAAACGACAAGGTTATGTAGAAGCCTAAAATTATTTTGGGCGTTCGTTAGTATGCTTGTAGTATAATGTACCCCAAAACCCTATTCTAATTATTGAGGCCTCTACATTAAGTAGCTAGACACCTAGAGCGGTCGAGATAGCAAGAGCAAGAAAGTGCGCCCTCGCCGGGGGCTAGTATACTATACGTAATAGGAATTATTAGTCCCTAAACCCTAAACCCTAAACACTAAACCCTAAACCCATAAACCCTAAACCCCACATTATAGGGACTATCAGGGGATTATGCCCTCTTGAAACTTTGCTAGCTGTTCAGAAAAGGTAAGTTTTGGGGTTTGCTTTTGCACCAGCCTGGCCGCATTCGACAGGCTTTACCTCAGCCTTAGCCCCAAATAACCTACCTTATAAAGAACTTATAAAAAGAAATCATAATAAGGAACCCGAAAAAGGGAGTAGGGTCCAGGTAGGTTGGGGGTTCAAGGGTTTAGTAAACGTGAGGGGCTTCGGTTCTGGATAGTGGGTTTATTAAGCGAGGTGTCTCCACCGCCGTGCTTCACATCGTTGAGTGTGATAATTAACTACCAATCCTAGACCCTGCCAGGGGCTGCCAGGCTACGTGGCAGCGCAAAAGCTTTGGATGCGTCTCGCTTGACATTGAAGTAAACCCTAAACCCTAAACCCTGAACCCCTAAACCCTAAACCCCTAAACCCTAAACCCAAAGGTTTAGAGTGTAGGGTTTACGGTTTAGGGGCTGGTGGGGCTAGGGTTGGCTTCTCGAAAAATGTCTAGACAGGTGGTTTATGCTGGACAGGACACATGCTAGTAGTTTGATTACGGGCTATTACGGGTTGATGTCCGATTGATATTTTGCTAACTTTTACCCGCAAGGCCACTTAGCACTGTCCTGCCACAACGGAAGGTGCAGGTTTTGTCAACGGAAGTAGTTCAATTGCTTCTGTCATTTGGCTGCTATCACTGGAACCATGCCCGAAGCAGGAGTCGATCTCAACGGAGAATTATTCCTCGAGTTGGGGGTATGTGCAAGATCGTGGGAATGTCGCGGCTAGAATTCTTGTCAAAGCAGAATATGATGACTGACCATCGCGTCGGTTTGTAGAACACCTATGTTACTACGTCAGCTACTTTTTCTATTGACTGCCGCACTGTGAAATCTTAATCCTGCCTAGCTATCTCTACATCCTCGCTTGGGTGGTGTACCGACGCCTGCCTTTAGCAAATCGTCAACCGTCCTTCTAAACCCTCAACCCTAAACCCTAAACCCTAAACCCTAAACCCTAAACCCTAAACCCCTAAACCCTAAACCCTAAACCATCATCTAACCGATGAAGCTGACAGCAACTCTTTGGCTCCACAAATATCCGGCGGGTTTCTCGGGCGACGGTCTTCCACAAATCCTACTCTGCCCTAAGTACTACGGGTTCATGCGGTTTGGGGTTTAGGGTTTAGGGTTTAGGGTTTAGGGTTTAGGGTTCATGTGCCCCAATTTCTGTTTACGACAGCGACTCCTTGGGCCAAAGTACATACTGTCCTGGTACATGGACCCTTAGAGCTAGTCTTTAGGACACTCTCTTGCACTGGCCACGAATGGTTGGTGACTGCCCCAGACTGACTTCCTCGGCTTTCTTCTCCGGATTGCTCCAAGTTGTGAAAACTCGCTTTGTCGTATAATAACCCTAAACCCTAAACCCTAAACCCTAAGCCCTCAACCTTGCACGTGCAAGCTTTATGACGCAGTATATGAGCCCCAGTTGTACCCTTTCCCGCTTTCATTATGGGGTCTCTGCATTGTAATTGAATAGTAGAAACACCGCCCTTTCCCGCTTTCATTATGGGTTCTCTTCAATATAATTGTATAGTAGAAACTCGAAGGCGAACCTAACGTACGGTTGCTGGTATAAACCCTGCCCCACCTTCAGGACCCTAAACTAGGGGAATTATGTCATATTCCTCATTATGGGTAATGCAGGATTTATATCATGAACCCT